CCATTTTATAGCCTTTTTTGAGGTATGGCACGCTGCACCATCTTGGTGAAACACAAAATCTTGGCCGGATGTCAAACATTCTTCCATCACTGGTAAAAGCGATTCTTCTAAAATTGCCAAACATTTCTAATAATAAAATGAAGTTTTCCTACTCCTTTTGATGACATACTGCCCCAGACCATAATGGATGCTGAAAATTTCACTGTTCTCTTCAGACAGTCAACATGGAATGCTTCATTTGACTGTCACCAACACATACTTCGAATCGAGCCTCATCACTCCATTGTATTGCACACCATTATTGAGGTGTCCATTGTCTATGTTCTAAGCCGATTCTTCTTTTGCAGTGGAGTTAGTAGTGGCTTTTCCTTTTCCTATAAACAAGTTGTGCAACTTTAGGGTTTTTACTTCACTTTTTTTATAAGAAAACTTACCTTGCAAGTGCTAAATCCCAGTTTGTGGGCCTCTCTATGAGTTGTGGACCTCGAAATTCTCCTTCCAACAGCGTCATTCCACAGAGCACTTAATTTTAAATAATTGCCATGCCTGTTTTTCATGATTATTCTTCTTAATGCTCTTCGGTCGGCATTTGTGATATTACTTTCTTTCACATATCGTGGCTTAATATTAACTGAACCAGTTACGTTAAATCTTCTAACAATATTTCTCTCACTGTACCGCGATAAGTCTAACAAAGTTGCAATTTCTGAGTTTGATTTCCCAGAATTAAAAAATTTAATTATCGGTAACCGAATTTTCTCACTAATAACCTTTCCTCTACCCATTTTGAAAACCTTAACTACCTAAAACTATTTTAAACGTATTCTGACAGCTGTGAATAATAAAAACAATTGTCATGGCTTTTATTTTTCACAGCCACCTATGCGTTATAGACTTATTTTGCATTGAAATAAAAATAGGTTGATATGCTGTAATTGCAACCTGTGTTATTTTTATGCTGCAAATTTGATTAGGGAGTGATAAAGTTGGTGTTTTCTACTATATATTATCAAAATATTCATTGTTAATATTTTAAACCTATAAACACCCTGCTACATTTTTATTATTTGTTTTTGATAAGAAAAAAACTAAGATTTCAATAGTTGGGCCAACTGAAGTGGGAAGGGGCTCGTATGTACCATTAAATTTCTCGTTCAAGTATTTTCTTACAGCACACGCAAAGTGAGGTGGAGCACCATCATACATAAAAATAAATCTCTTTCATTCAGAGGTAGTTCTTCTAATAATTCAGGTAAAACGTATTGAAGAGAATGAAGATAGCTGTCTTCGTTTGATTTATCAGTCTACCTATATGGACCAGCTAAAACGTACCAATAATATCCATCCAAACTTTCATTTTAAATTCCCATTGAAAATGTCTTTCTGAAACTGCATGCGGATTTTATTCAGCCTAAACATGTGTATTATGTAAATTTATCATACCACGTCGAGTAAAACATGACTCATCTGTAAACAAAATTTTCTTGTGAAATGATCTATCAGCTGCTTTGTGTTCTGATACACTTTGTGCAAATCTCACAACATGAGTGATGGACACTGGCTGAACGTGAGAAGAACGAAAGAGTTGTTCATTTAAAATCCGTTTAGCAGTGCTTTTTTGAACTCCTTGTTCATGTTCTAATCTGCGATTGCCGATACCTGGATCTTCTTCAACCACAGCTTATTCCGCTAGCGGTGTTCGGGTTTGCCGTGGTTTCCCAGCGCTGACTCTTAGAGGTTGGAATCGACCAATCCGAAATCGGCGTTCTGAGCTTGCAAAAGTCTCGATTCTCTCTTAACACGCGCGAACACTTTTTCTGCAATTACCTTCGCAGAAACCAAGTACTAACAAGATATCAGTATGTGCGTCAAAAGAATATTCCATATTCACGACAAAAATAAACAACAACAACAACAACTTAACCAAAAATAATCTCAAACGTTAATTAATATAAAATTTATTAGGAACAAGCAACAATCGAAAATAAACTCAAACATTACTTATTAATTTAAACTTTATTGCGCTTGTTGTGAAAAATAATCTGGCCCTGGCATAACATCCAACATCTCCGCCAACTAGATGCCTACTAGATTTTGACACAATTATTTTAGAAACCAGCCTGGAAAAACATTTGTTTTCTCGAAAACTATGCGATATGGCTAGTTTATAAGAGATAAAAAAGCAAATAAAACGATTTTCTAAATAAAAAATCATAGTCGTTTGGAGAGTTGCAAAAAAAATTCTGGTCCAATTTATGTGGGGGTGGGGGTAGTTCTCACGATTCTCGAACCCGTTTGTTTTTTTGTAAAAGTCAAATATTAGGACGTCTAGCAAGGCGCATGTTTTTCAAATTTTATTCAATTCGGACCAAAATATTCCAAAAATATCTAAAAAAATGTGTTTTAAAGTCGACTTATTTTAGATTTTTATGAAGATACGTGGTGCTTCATGTCCACGGAATATTGGGACACCCTGTATACTTTGAAAAGGTTAGTGTCTTATAGATGCATTGTAGCCAACTATATGAGCTTATACAAGCATTTATCTATCTCATCTATCTCATTTTCTGTCGGATAATTTTTGGGACGGGGGTTGGCTCTTCAGGAAGAATATGTTAACCAATGATCGTACTGATACTAGCAGGCGTCAACAGAAGTCCAGGTACTTTTTACACTTCTGATTTACTAACTGACTAATAGTAATAATACAGTTAAACACGGCGCATGTTAGAAATGTGCTCTTAAGGAGGTAGAGAATATTCCTTTAAAAGCAAATAGGATCTCACCTGGTGTCGACTGATGGTCTCCTCCAGAGCGTGCACCCATTTGGCGCGCTCCTCCGCGTCCCTCGCTTGGAAGTGAAACGTCTTGTGGTCGACGGTGACAGTAAAAGTGCTGTCATCCTCGTCGTCGATACCCACAACGGCGCCCTTCAAACGGACGCAGCCGCGCCGAACGCCACGCATCATCTTCTCTTTGGACTGTAACAAATAGAAACAAGGTCAAAAATGGATAAATACACCTTAATATGTCTATAGCAATATCTAAGACTTCGTATAGAAGGCACAAATGATACCCAAATACGAAGCGTAGGTTCGAATAAGAAAATGTTTAGAGAGACGTCATCTAAGGAACCAAAAGCAACCCTAAGGCAACTCTATTTTAACTCGATTTCGACTTGGGTTGGTTTTGCAATCTCACCGAAAGCAACTGATAAGCAACTTTCAGCTTCGTTATGAGGTTATGGAAAAAATGACGTCGAAGTAGGTTGACTCTGCACTTCCCACGCAAAAACTTTTATGTTCGGTACAAGTTAATGCCTCTGAACTAGCTACAAGCAAGTATAACAAAAAAAAAATGGATTGCGTCAGCTAAACAGGCCCGTGCAATTAGTCCATACTCCATAGTCCCTTATCAATTTGATTACCAAATGTTTCTACTTTTAAGTGGAAATCGATGATATGTGAAATATATGTTCTGATAGGTGCATGAAAATAATTGTGGTTCGAGGTGCATAAATATACTGCTATGATATAGTCTCTTGAGCGGTTTGTATTTTTTTCTTGTTTTTGCCCCTAGTTTCACCACCACTGAACCGAATTCCAAAATCTGTTGCGTTCTCGGCATAGTAGTAACATTATGTGGCTGAAGAACCGGAAATCGTTATAAAGGCAGCAGTGCACAAAATTTGTCATTGCTACATACAACCACGTTTTTTGGCCTTAAATGCGGTTTTTCCGTTAATCGCATAAGACAATCATATCTCAAGTGCCCTTGAGTGGACATGGCATTATCTCGTGGTTTGCCTCCAAAAAAATATATAGATATAAAAAATTACTATGTTGAATCAGATTGGAAACGCGTAACTGTTGAACATCGCTTTACGCCCAAAATTTTCACGGATATCTGGTCAACTTATTGTGTTCTAATAGCCCCTGATAGTCGTTTGCTCGAGGGGGCCGGAACATGCTTTTTTAGGGTTAGGGTGGGTTTACATGGCACTCTCACGAAAAAAATTATATTTAAAAAAAACTGTCTTACGCCCAAAATTGTTTTGTGCGAATCGTATTTATTTAACATGCTCTAACATCCCACCAAGCCGTTTTCTCCAGTGGGGTCCGGAACACCCCCATCCCCACTTCGACCAGTATTCGATCAGACACCTGTCATTTTTCAAAATCGCTTTACGACAAAATTTTTTGTACAATATTCCAGTGGATGGCCACACCCGGACCAGATACCATTTATATACCTTATCGATGACGAAACTCAATACATTTTTAAAAACAAAGATATAGAGCAGATGTTTTGTTGCGATGTGATCATTTCGGCAATATGAATCGTCGACTGATGACATGTCAGGTCGATACTGTAGTAAAAATGTTTTTGCTAAAAACATATTGTTTGCGGCAAAGCCTGTCGTATTAAAATGTACAATTGCACCTCTAGATGGAACAATATTTACTTGGCATTCAGTATAGAGGAGAACTGCTAGCGGCAATGCGACATATCGCAAATAAGGGTCACGCTGGTTATGCTGCTCACTCCACAATTGAAACAAATCGGATAAGTCCCGCGAACTGAGCAGCAGTCTGTTTCCGCATTTTGTTTCGGATGCAATTTTGTGGTAGGTGGTCGATTGTCGAAGGTCTTGCGGATGTCCATCTTTGAGCAGCTCTTTGTCGGTTTCAGATACCACCTCTAGTTGGTAATCGCGGACACTACGATATTTAAGCCAGTTGTTTATGGTCTGAACGGTTACCACCGAGAGTACAAGGCCAAACAACTGGGCTCTGAAAAGCCTGTGACGTCACGCAGAGTAGGCCTATGCATGTTCTTATGGAGTTTCGCCATGACTGGCTGGCAAGAGAACCGCGCCACCATTTCTCTGGGGTGTTGTCATATCTAGGTTTGATATAGCAGTATCGAAATCTCTACTAATTAGTTGTACCTCTCTGTGGGCGAATTTGCAAGATGTACTCGAGGCCTGCGCAGCTTCAGTGATGATGTGATTATTCTTTCTGATCTGCCTTAGTATGTTAAGAATACATTTTCGATATTATGTTCAATCTGTCACTTATGAAGTCTAATATTCCATTCAAAATTGAAAGATGTGGCAACCTTGCCAACTAACCTCACATTCTGAGCCTCATCTTTCAATGCTATGTAAACGGAAAATTATTGATGTTTTAAACTTCTATTTGTGTCTCGCGATTGTTTAGCTAAGTTTTCAAAACGCCTTACAAGTGCTGCGTTCCTAATTGTGTTGGTAATTACGGGAAGGGTCCGAAGGTACACGTATTTTCGTTTCCATTGAACGAAAACTGTCGTAAAAGATGGCTCAATGCAATCCCTCGTAGTGATTTAGTGGTTACAAAATACACCCGAGTATGTAATTTGCACTTTGCTGAGGACAGCATCATTTAGGAATCCACCTTCCATGACGAAAAGACAGGTTGGACCATTACTGTACCCCTTAAGTATTCAAAATTAAAGGCAGATGTAATTCCAAGTATCTTTGCAAATTGGCCAAAATACCTTTCAAAGGACATATCAAGCAGAAGAAGCCGAGATGAGAAATTGAGGGACAAGGAACAAGAACAACTACTTAAAGCACTGCAAACTAGCATTGATGATTATTCCTCCTATCAAAAATCAACTTGTTTTCAAAATTATTCAGACTTTCTCACAGTTTTCAGTTCATGGCAATGTCCATATAGGTGGCATAAAATTGTTCAGGATAAAGTTACTTTGTTTAAGTTAGAAATTAAACCAGCACCCATCATAACTCACTCTGTAATTGCTGATAAAGATCTCAATGTAAAAACGTATATGTACTCCCAAGAATTGTTACTCAACTCAGGTAATATTAAAACTCCATTTTTATTATCTAATATACACCACTTGGATGATGTTCTGCATGTTCTTTCTGAGAATGCAGGTGCTTCGAGGGAATATTCAGGTAAAGACCAGTTCAGAGCCACTATCAACCATGCTTACAATATTTTAATAGCACAGAACTATTCACCGATGAAGAGACCCACACTGTCATTCAATTTATTTGTGAGCAACTAAAGCTTGCTATTAGTCAGAAGAACAGACACTCATCAGAAACAATAGTGTTTTGCTCTATGTTGTATACAATCAGTCCACATTCACATAGATTTATTAGGAGCCATGGAGCACTTATTTTACCACACCAAAATACTCTGAAGTCAATATGTAATACATTGATGGTCGATCCAGTTCCCGATGAGAGATATAACTTTTTAGGCTAAGCAAAAAACCTTTTCAGATTTGTAAAACCTGGTGAGGAGTACATGATTTTATTGATGGATGAAATACACATTCAGCCATATTTAGATTTCAAAGGGGGTAATATTGTTGGAACGTCAATTAATAATACTTCATTAGCTACAACAGCCTATGTGTTTATGATTTCTAGCTTCTACTCCAATTTCAAAGAAGTTGTTCAAATCTGTCCTGTTTCTAAAATTGATCATAATCTTTTCTACAATATGACAAAAAAACTTATTATTGGATTAGAAGAACTTGGTTATAAAATTTTTTGAGTTGTAAGTGATAATAATGCACTGAATAGTAAAGCGATGGCACATTTTTCTCCAGATTGTTTATCCGCATCCGTAAATTGACTACATTCACATGAGGCCGCAACATTTACATAGCTGTAGATAAATGTTTATTTGTACATATTCAGAATTTAGCACTTTAGTTTTCGTTATTCTAATTTTTATTATTTTTGATACTTGTTTTCTGTTTTCTAATTTTTGTGCTGTTATTTGTTTGTTCTAAGAGTTTTTATTAAGTTTTCGTTAATCTTTGTTATGTTTTTTCTGTTGTTTATTTTACTTTGATTTTATCTGTTTTTCTTATCATTTATCCTACACTTTTTCCTCCTCATCTTCCTTATTCCTTTCCTGGCAAGAGCTTACCTCAAACCTCCTCGTTGGTTCTTGCTGGACACAACTGTTCTACAAGCACTACATTTTTTATATAACTTTCAAGTAGCATTATATTATACCTGTAATAATAGTAAATTGTCCACATATTCCTGTGAAATTTTGTTGATCCGTTGTGACTAACATGGGGTTATTCATTGAAGAATTTATCATTTTTAGCAAGCTTTTATAACATCAACTTATTAATCTAATGTGCATGTAATGTTGGATGAAATATCAGTGAAAATCAGGGTGAAAATAGTTAATAACTACTTTAATATTTTCCACCAAAAACACTTTTCTGAATGATTTGTTATTTACATCAGGTAGAGTATGTTAAATATGCTGCAATAATATATTATTCACTAGCGCTGATGTACGGCACGCCGTGCTGTCGGCCGGCCGACCGGCCTACTCGTGGTGACGTCACGCGTCTGTTGTTAGGCCTTGTATTCTCGGTGGTAACGTCTGAACCCCTTGCTTGTCGAAACTGAACATCATCATCACCATGACTTGTAAGGAGCGCACTGGTACTTGTTATTAAAAAGACGGACGTAAGCCCGGTCAAGATCAGACGCTGAAAATTTGAAATACTGAGAGTGACCCGGTCGAGTACATTTGGCATACATAGCATAATTGTTCCGATTGCGCCTAAAAGAATAAAATGCATGCCAAAAAAACGCGCACATTTTAAAAATTCGGTTGGTCATAATGTGGATCAACGCCAAGCGAAATCGATCAGGATCTACGATCTTCCCGTCATTTTTTATTTCAGTTGATAGAATCTTTTGTTGTTTTCGATGAAATATAACCGTTAATAGCCACCATGCACGCACATGAAATTTTTGATATGCCTTGGCACTAGTTTACTTCATCCACCGACTTTACGATACCACACATCACACGTGCAACACTCACTTTTACGCGAATTTCGTTTGCAGACATTGTAGTATTTTGAAGAAGTACTGTAACCCGAGATGTCCAACGACACAAACAAAACTAAATTATGCCAATGAAAATATATACGTATCCTTTTTTTTACAACTTATACCTGTACGTATCCTTTCTTACAACTTATACCTGTACGTATACTTTTTGTTTACAACCTAAAGATAAGAGAACATTCCATTAGAATTGTCCATTTTACCCCGACATTCCTGCAAACAGCCCAACGTCACGGCACGTATTTACCTGCATCCAGTACCTTTGCTGGGAAAACACAGTGATAACATTAGTATTAGATTTTAATGTTGGATTCTGAATCAGCGACCTAGTTAAAGGTGGTCCCGGTTGTTGATAAAAATGTATAAACGGATTTAACAAAACAGTCATTTGAATGAGGGTCACTCAGCTCCGATGATAAGGCCATATAAAGAGACTGATAATTTCATCTCACCGTAATCAATACCTGTTCAATATTGATGAAGTGCCTAATGCTGTTTTACATCACATCGCCCTCCGATATATATTTACATTCGGGAATCGTGACGTACAATATCAGCCAAAAAATCGCTTTTATTTTACTATATTGTTAATTCTGTGTTGCAAATACACAAAACCAGTATTGTATAGTTTATTCAATAACATTCACATCTCCCTGAGGTGATCCAGTCTACGAGACGTCGACGCTCAACCTTTGTCGTGTTGTCATTTTGCAATATGGGGCTTGATTTTAAATGAGTTTCGATCGTTGAAAATGATTTAGATGGGGCCTTGCGACGATATACTTGATTCGCTATGATAATTTTGAAATCTGATTATATTGATCTTATATATTGAAATTATCATGGCTTTGTCAAAATTATCATAGCTAATCAAGTAACCTGTTTCATCACAAGGGCCTTCGAAATTTCAACGTTCGAAACTCATTTAGAATCAAGGTATCTGATCTAAATGCGGAAACGGGAAACGGTTTGGTGGGATGTCAGAACCATTCGCACAAAAAAATTTTGGCCGTAAGGCAGTTTTTTTGAAATATAATTTTTTTAGTGCGAACGCCATGTAAACCCACCCTCACACTAAAAAAAGTATGTTCCGGATCCCACTCAAGCAAACGGCTATCAGCAGCTATTAGAACACATTAAGTTGACTAGATATCCGTGAAAAAATTTTGGGCGTAAAGCGATTTTGAAAAATGACAGGTGTCTGATCGAATTCTGATTGAAGTGGGGATGGGGGTGTTCCGGACGCCACTGGGGGAAACGGCTTCATGGGATGTTAGAACATGTTAAATAAACACGATTCACGCAAAAAAATGTTGAGCGTAAGCCAGTTTTTTTTTAATATAATTTTTAGTGAGAACGCCATGTAATCCCACCCTAACCCTAAAAAGTATGTTTTGGATCCCGCTCGAGCAAACGACTATCAGGGGCCATTAGAACACATTAAATTGACTAGATATCCGTGTAAAAATTTTGGGCGTAAAGCGATTTTGAAAAATGACAGGTGTCTGATCGAATTCCGATAGAAGCGCAGATGAGGGTGTTCCGGACCCCACTGGCGGAAACGGCTTGATGGGATGTTAGAACATGTTAAATAAACACGATTCGCAGAAAAAAAATTTGAGCGTACGCCAGTTTTTTTGAAATATAATTTTTTTAGTGCGAACGCCATGTACACCCACCCTAACCCCAAAAAAGTATGTTCCGGATCCCGCTCAAGCAAACGGCTATCAGGGGCTATTAGAACACATTAAGTTGACCAGATATCCGTGAAAGAATTTTGGGCGTAAAGCGATTTTGAAAAATGACAGGTGTCTGATCGAATTCTGATCGAAGTGCAGATGGGGGTGTTCCGGACCCCACTGGGGAAAACGGCTTGGTGGGATGTTAGAACATGTTAAATAAACACGATCTGCACAAAAAAGTGTTGGGGATAAGCCAGTTTTTTGAAATGCAATTTTTTAGTGAGAACGCCATATAAACCCGCCCTAACCCTAAAAAAGTATGTTTCGGACCCCGTTCGAGCAAACGACTATCAGGGGCTATTAGAACACATTAAGTTGACCAGATATCCGTGAAAAAAATTTGGGCGTATAGCGATTTTGAAAAATGACAGGTGTCTGATCGAAGTGCAGATGGGGGTGTTCCGGACCCACTGTGGAAAACGGCTTGGCGGGATGTTAGAACATGTTAAATAAACACGATATGCACAAAAAAGTTTTGGGGATAAGCCAGTTTTTTTGAAATACAATTTTTTTTTGTGAGAACGCCATATAAACCCGACCAGCCCTAAAAAAGTATGTTTCGGACCCCGTTCGAGCAAACGACTATCAGGGGCTATTAGAACACATTAAGTTGACCAGATATCCGTGAAAAAATTTTGGGCCTAAAGCGATTTTCAACTGTTGCGGGTTTCCGATCTGATTCAACATAGTAATTTTTATATCTATATATTTTTTTGGAGGCAAACCATGAGATAATGCCATATCTACCCAAGGGCACCAGAGGTATGATTCTCTTATGCGATTAACGCAAAAACCGCATTTTTCCATTATAATTTTCACGAAATAATAACTTTTTCTCGTTATTCACAACTTTGGGGATGTTTTTGGGGAAGGCGGGCTAGACTTCAATGACACATAAAAACACATAAAATAAACACTAAAACGTGTTTGTATGTTGCAATGACAAATTTTGTGCACTGCTTTTATAACGTTTTCGATCGCGCTCGATCGATCGGTTCTTCAGCCACACGTAACATTGTGAAAACATTTCATTGAAATCTGCGCGGTACTTCTCAAGTTACAGGCGGTTATAGGATTAGTGAACAGACCGACAGATTGACTGACAGACAGGCCGACGGACATGGTTTTTTGTGATGTACGTGACATATAACATCTAAAAAACATGAACATAACATATTCGAAAATTTTCACGATTACAATAGAAACAAGTGAAAACACTCATGATATACAGTGTGTCCAGTGGGAAAGTTCACATTTTAAATTTGAATTACGCGGCAACCGTTTACGCGAGGTACTGGGGAGAGCTCTTGATCGGCCCGTTCGGCGTGCGGGTTAAATAGTCTCAATGAAACGTTGGACCGGAGCGCTACGTGCTTTTGCTATCGAGGCTTACGTTAAGAGTGGTGATTCATACGCAGCTGCTCTTCGGA